GACGGAAAATCCCCCGGCGGAAAGTGAGATTGCCGCCAGGCGTTGGCAAAAAATGCCACACAAAATGACAGCGGACCCGTTGACCGTTTTTGGCCAAAAGTCGTAGTCAAGTGGTGATGGTGTTGGTGGTGCTGGTTGTGCTGGTGGTGCTGGTGGTGCTTGTGGTGTTGGCAACGGGACAGCCGCACAACCACACCAGTTTATCGGTCCGAAACGACCCAAAACAATAAATTACGCAATCCAAATGCTCAACTGCAGTCCATCAATGGCATAATGAGGCAGTCTCGAGATTCAGAGTCCCAGTCCCAGCGTGGATGCATTACCATATCGGCATAAATTCCGGAGCACATCGTTAAGTGGGCTGACGAGTGGTCGGCGAGCAGAAGACGTGTGCTGAAACAGGTTGCCTCCTTGCCGTTTTGCTGCTGCTTCATGCCTCATGTTGCAGGTTGCACTTTGCAGGTTGCCGGTTGCCGGTCGCCGGCTGCCAGTTGCCAGTTGCACACTTGCCACAAGCCGCATGCCGCCGAATGCCAGTGGAGGCAGCACCACCAAACTCCCACAGCTAATGAGGGAATTACCCGCAATGCCAATGCCACATCGCCATCGCCTTTGCCATCGATAATGGTCTTGTGCCTTTGGGCGGGGGTTAAATCGGTGGGTGGTGGAGCAGCCGACCTTTGGGGTTGGCGCCTGCCGCCCGGAAAGCCTTAAATATTACTCAATCTTGACTCGTGTTCTTAATGATTCAGCCATTTGCCGCTCAAAACCTCAGGCTTGTATTCCCGTGAAACTATGTTTCCATTAAACCAATTTAAATCTTAAATAGTAATATTAACAAATCCAATTACTCTAGCATTGTTAATGTATTATTTGCTGAAATACGTTTTTAATTACGGAATTTAATGTCAAATCTAAAAATAATATTCCCTGATTCCCCTAAAATTTTTAAAGAGTAATATCAAAAATTATTCAACTAATAAAAATAGCATACATGACCCTTTTAAAATTTTTTTATATTTAAGAAATATTTATTTTTAATTAATAATAATTAGTAGGTACTAATAACAACAGCATTCGCATTCGCATTATTTTTTTTATTTCCAAGACTCAAATAAAAAATATTGTGTATATAATTGTTTTTTGTTTTTTTAAGGAATGAATGGATTGCAAACGATAAACAAAGCCCTGGTATCTTAATTATTGTTCATAAAGTTTAGAAATGAAAACCTTTTATTTAAATACTCAATTATATTGTACTATTAGATAACATTATACATACATTACTGTGCAAAAGTAATACATTTACTTGGGATTTCGTTTTTCTCCGATTGTTAAAAGAAATTTTTTGTATTGTATAAAAAAGTTGCGAACAACCATGTTCAACCATCAGAGGAAATATTTGACTGATAATTTCTAAAGGTTTTGTTTTTCTTAGAAAAACCTTATGGCAGCTCCTTCCTCTGCAACAGCGGTGGTTTTCATTGCGGCGGCGGTGGTGTTGTCTACTGTTGTGGTGCTCGCCTCGGTAGTTGGTTCTTCAGTTGTGGTCTCTGACGCATGGCCCCACTCTTCAATCATTTCCAATATCGCGAAGACTGTGCCATTCACTAAAATAAGAATGCCAATGACTGCGATTAAGATGTCCTTCACGAGCTTCCACTTCAGTTTTCCGTAGTTATATTCCGGCGGATAATACAGACAAATCTCGATCAGAGCGGGAAACACCAAGTTCAGCAGCGATATGGTGAAAGCTCCAACCAAGGACAGCAAAGGACCCAGATTCGGAATTATTAAACCAGTTATGGTAGTACACAAGACGTAAGCCACCCGAATAATCAGCTCCTTCAGCACCGGATGCTTTAGTTCTTTATTCTTATTCCAAAAGTGGTTCATTATAATGTCGATTACCACGTAACCGGACAAGGGATAGGTCAGGAAAATGGCCATGGCGATGAAGGCCTTTGCCACTTGAGAAACTCTGCGGGCGGTTGTTTTTTGAGGGAAAGTTATGAACGCGAAAATGTGAGCAATATCATTTTAATTTTGGTATTTGCAATAATATATCTTTTACCTTTGGGCAGAAAAAAAACACATCTTGAAATAAGGGCATTAAAAACTTTAAATATTAACAACGCTGAACTCAATTCAGAAAGAAAGCTCATATATGTATATCCTTCTGAGATTTCAGATATATATCACATAAGCTAATCGATATACTCGTACAAAAATAAATTTAAATATATTTTTTTTGTCGAACTTACATATCATCCGAGGGAATGTTAAGGGATAAACTGGCTTTAATTTCGTCCCCATATCGCCAATAGCCCATGATGGCAATGAAAATGTATGAGACCAACACCAACGCTACGGCCCTATCAAGAATGCCGAACCAACCGATGTAATGTTGTGGGTTGGTCATCTGGGATTCGATTGCCAGCATCTGGAAGAGTGTTTCAACTTACAAAACGAAAATATAAAACTAAATTATTAAATTAAAGAACTTGCCACGCCCACCGACGTTATGGAGAACAAGGCGATGCCAAAAAATAAAGGCAGCTTTTCTAGTTCGCCAAAGAAAATAGAGCGGTCCGATATCGAGGGCAAGTCCGAGAATACAAAGTACATCATCATAATGAAGCCGAGGTATATGAAAATAGTGGCCATAATATTGAAGGGTACAAGGTACTTTAACTGGCGAATCAAAAATGGGGGGATCAATAATAGTCCGATAATGGCGATATAAACCCGCAAATCAAGTTCGGTCCAGTAAAAATCCAAAAGCTGCTTGAAGCTGGCTGACACAAACACAATATATACGACACACACACCGTAGTGCGAACAAGCCAATACTACATCGACTATATAGCCTCCTGCTTTGGCGCAGCTTTTGAAGCACTTGGGTCCCTGGCTAAAGGAATAGTTCATCGACTCGGGATACGTGGCATAGCCCACATGCATTCGGCGGGAGCACTCGACCATGGATATAATCTATCCAGAACGCAAAACTAAAGTTAGTATTAAATTCTATATATTGGTATCAAGCTTACCAACAACTGCATGCCATGGATCAGCAGGAAGCAACACAAGGTGAGCAAAAAGACACCGTTGATTATTCCTGCAAAATAAAAAGCCATGGGCAAGGCCAAACATCCAGTTCCCACCACGCATTTAAGGAGCGACACAAAGGCTCCAAAGTCACTTAAAAAACATGTAGAACTCAGAAAACTACACATTCATTTTTATAGAGAAAGAAAACTTACGACAGCGGCTTTTCAACATCTCGATTGTCGTAGGGATTATAGCCTCTGTGGATAAGTGAGTTAGATATTATGTAATCAATTGCCAGTTTCTTTACCCTTTATCGGCCATGTTTGAAATAATAATTAATTTTGTTTTGTATTAAAAATACAAATTTAAAACAGTTGTGCGAATGGAGTTGTAGATAATAGTGACACAATTCACATGACCTATCATTCTTCAGGCAGAAAAATAACGATTTTCAACACCTTTTAAGGAACTTTCAGTTATACACGATAAACTAAATAAAATAAATATTTTTTTTCAAAATATAATAAAAATCATATTTTTCGGCAAGCCGAAGCTTATACCCTTGCTGTAATCAAATATCTCAAACAAGATACATAAAGGCAAAACAACATCGAAGCTATGTCGATTTTTATACCCTCGCAGAGCAAAGGGTATTATAATTTCAGTCAGAAGATTGCAAAGCAGTGAAGGAGACACCTTAGACCCCATAAAGTATATATATTCGTGATCAGCATAACAATCTGAATCGAAATATGTATGTACGTCTGTCCGTCGGTCCGTCTGTCCGTCTGTCTGTTTCTATGTAATCCAGTCTGAAGCTATCCTGCTGAAACTTTCCCAAAAGGTGTGTAGCTATTGCACGCAGTATATAAGTCGGAACGGGCCAGATCGGACGACTATATCGGATCGCTCCCATACAAGAGAATGAAATAAAAAATTCTCACGCCGTTGTTTTTGATCAGATCGACTTGATTTCTTCCCGATGGCGTTTTCTAACTACTAATAAATTTTATCGAAATTTGATAACTATATAGCCATAATAAAGATAAAAAAAAATGTATATATAAACAATGGCAAAAAAATAATAACGTCGTTGTTTATTATAATAATATTATATTTATTTATTATTTATAATATAAAAAAAATTGCCAGGGCAAACTTTACAGTTTCCAACTGGGGGAGACTTTTTGAAATAATAACTATTTTAAGGGGGGGTAAGGTTTTAAAATTTTTTTTTTACATTTTTTTTTTTTATTTTTTTCTGAATGATTAATATGTCGAGAACATTGTGTAAAAATTTTGAGTCAATTAAAGTCAAACTAACGGAGTTACAGCGTTTTAAACAACCGTATGTGGGAGTATTTCCACGTATAAAAATACTTTGAATCGATTTTGCCGAAGACGTTATTTGGAAAGTCGGTGAACATCAGAACTCAAAATCTACTGAACCGATCCTTTTCAAATTTTTAACACAAATTCTCAACATAAATACCCAGATAATCAGGAAGAGCTTTTTTTAATTTTTAATTTTTTTCTATTTTTAAAAAATAAATTAACAGCGATTTTTAAGCTAAAATCGCACTTTTCACTTTCAAGTGCTCCCAAAAATAGACAAAAAATAAATTAAAAAAATCTCTTCTCGATTACCTCGGGAAATTCATTATCTTTACAACGCATATCACATTTTATTTTTAAGATGATCCGTTAACGCCCTATGATGTTCACCGCAAAACAACTTTTTCTTTAGGCGCTTCGGAAGATTAACCGCCACAGGCTTATTTCTTAATATTTTTTAATAATTTTTTTTCTAATACTCTTCAAAAGTTAAACAATAACATGTAATTAAGCTCAATAAAATAAACTTACTCATTTTGCCGCAAAAAAAATCAAACATGGCCCTTTTTTTGACCTTTAAAACCTTACCCCCCCCCTTAAGGTAACTTCAAATATTTAAAATAAAATTATTTTTTACATTTCTTTTTCTGGTAGAAAGATAACGTCAATAACTAATAAAACCAAAGACGGCTTAAAAAATAATAACCACGAACATTCCTTGATTCAAAACTCCTCAGGAAACCCAAGAAGTTTTGTGGTGTTTTCATACTGCGACCAAGCGCAAGGATCTACATAAACGGAAATGAATCACAAAGGGTTTTTAAAAAGAAATTAAAGTTAACCCACCACTCCAACCGATTCAATGGCAAAGAGACCAGTGCCAAAAAAGAGGGGGAAGTTTCTTATTGGCTGTGTTGCTTGAAGCTCGTTGAAATTAGGAAGACCTTAAAAATTAGATAAAAATTATACAATAAGCAAAAGTAAGAAGAATGCACTTATGAAAACAGATTTTTCTTGTCAATTAAAGAAAAATATCAATTTATGTTATTAAGATGCCATGGAAAGTGAAACTCAAAAATTAAAACAGCTAAAAAAATACATTTACTTGTAATTTGATTTTTTTTTCTATCGAATAACCATGCTCGATATCAGAGAAAATAAAATAGGTATATCACTGAAAATTTCTGAGGAATTTGTTTTTCTTAGAAAAACCTTATGGCAGCTCCTTCCCCTGCAACAGCGGTGGTTTTCATTGCGGCGGCGGTGGTGTTGTCTGCCATTGTGCTCGCCTCGGTAGTTGGTTCTTCAGTTGTGGTCTCTGACTCAAAACCCCACTTATTAATCATTTCCATTATCGCAAAAGAGGTTCCATTCACTAAAATGAGAATGCCAATGACTATGAGAAGGATGTCCCTCACGAGCTTCCACTTCAGTTTTCCGTAGTTATATTCCGGCGGATAATACAGACAAATGTCGATCATAGGGGGAAACACCAAGTTCAGCAGCGATATAGTGAAAGCTCCAACCAAGGACAGCAAAGGACCCAGATTCGGAAATATTAAACCAGTTATGGTAGTACACAAGACGTAAGCCACCCGAATCACCAGCTCCTTCAGCACCGGATGCTTTAGTTCTTTATTCTTATTCCAACAGTGGTTCATTATAATGTCGATTACCACGTAACCGGACAACGGATAGGTCAGGAAAATGTCGATGGCGATGAAGGCTTTTGCCACTTGAGAAACTCTGCGGGCGGTTGTTTTTTGAGAGAAAGTTATGAAGGCGAAAATGTTTGCAATATCATTTTTATTTTGGTATTTGCAATAATATATCTTTTATCTTTGGGTAGAAGAAAATAGGTTATGTATACCACATCTCAGAATAGGGGTATTAAAAACTATAAATGTAAACAACGCTGAATTTAATTCAGAACTACAGCTCATATATGTACATCCTTCTGAGATTTCAGATATATATATAAGGTATATATATTACAAGATATAATTATAATAATATGATTATAATATTATCTATATTATATTATTTTGTTAATTATTTTGTTAAGCTAGTCGATATACTCGTACAAAAATAAAAATATATAACATATAACTCTTTCTTTAAAATTTTTTATTAAACTTACACTTCATCCGAGGGAATGTTTAGGGATAAACTGTCTTGTATTTCCTCCCCATATCGCCAATAGCCCATAATGGCAACGAAAATGTACGAGATCAACACCAACACTATGGCCTTATCGAGAACGCCAAACCAACCGATGTAATGTTGTGGCTTCTCCATCTGGGATTCGATTGCCAGCATCTGGAAGAGTGTTTCAACTTACAAAACGAAAATATAAAACAAAATTAATCAATTAAAGAACTTGCCACGCCCACCGACGTTATGGAGAACAAGGCGATGCCAAAAAATAAAGGCAACTTTTCTATTTCACCAAAGAAAATAGAACGGTCCGATATCGAGGGTAAGTCCGAGAATACAAAGTACATCATCATAATGAAACCGAGGTATATAAGAACAGTGGCCAGCAAATTTGTGGGTACAAGGTACTTTAACTGGCGAATCATAAAGAAGGGGATTAATAAGAGTCCTATGATGGCTATATAAGCCCGCAAATCAAGAACGGTCCAATGGTAGTCAAAAAGCTGCTTAATGTTGGCTGACACAAAAACAATATATACGACACACACCCCGAAGTGTGAACAACACAGTATTATATCGACTATATAGCTTCCAGCTTTGGCGCACTTTTTAAATACATTTGGTCCCTGGTTAAAGGCATAGTTCACCCCCTCGGGATACGTGGCATAGCCCACTTGCATTCGACGGGAGCACTCGACCAAGGACATAACCTATCCAGAAATCAAACTTTAAGTGGTATAAAATTCTATAGATGTGTATATATCGGTAACTCACCAACAACTGCATGCCATGGATCAGCACGAAGCAGCACAAGGTGAGCAAAAAGGCACCGTTGATCATTCCTGCAAAATAAAAAGCCATGGGCAAGGCCAAACATCCAGTTCCCACCACGCATTTAAGGAGCGACACAAAGGCTCCAAAGTCACTTAAAAAACATGTAGAACTCAGAAAACTACACATTCATTTTTATAGAGAAAGAAAACTTACGACAGCGGCTTTTCAACATCTCGATTGTCGTAGGGATTATAGCCTCTGTGGATAAGTGAGTTAGATATTATGTAATCAATTGCCAGTTTCTTTACCCTTTATCGGCCATGTTTGAAATAATAATTAATTTTGTTTTGTATTAAAAATACAAATTTAAAACAGTTGTGCGAATGGAGTTGTAAACAATAGTGACACAATTCACATGACCTATCATTCTTCAGGCAGAAAAATAACGATTTTCAAAACCTTTTAAAGAACTATCAGTTATACACGATAAAAGGGTTGATTATTCACAAATCTTTAAGAGTTTCCCACAGCGAGCTCAAAAAATATAAATTTTTCAAAATAAATTAAAAATCTTATTTTATTCAGGATTACAAGGTGCCTTTCTAAACTAATAATATTTGTAATCAACGGGAAAGCGACCGTGAAGGGTCCGCATTGTTATTACTGTGCCAGCCAATCCGCCAGCCAATCCCACAAAGATAAAGAGCATCGACCGGAAAAGGAATATTCTTCCCGGGCCGTAACCCCTTTCATAGAGAACGCAGATATCCACGATTCCCGGCAGGATCAATCCCAGTTGGGCCAAACAAAAGGATCCCACGAAGGAGAGCAGCAGCCCAAAGTCCGGATATTGAATGGCCACTAAAACAGAGGCAATCACAAATGCGATTCGAACCAAGAATTCGACGGCCTTAGATGCTCCCTCTTCTAATTTCGGCTCCAAATAATTCCTCCAAATAATATCCACATTAACGTATCCCTGCAGTGCATAACTAAAAAAAATTGCCATGGCAAACATTACAGTTACCAGCTGGGGGAGACTTTTTGAAATAATAATTATTTTAAGCTAACTTCAAATGTTTAAAATTAAATAATTTCTTACATTTCTTTTTCTGGTAGATTTTGCAGGACAGAGTTGGCCGTCTTTTGGCCATAGCGCCAATAGCCAAAAAAACCAAAGACGGCATAAAAAATAATAACAAAAAACATTCCTTGATTCAAAACTCCACAAGGACCCAAGAAGTTTTGTGGTGTTTGCATACTGCGACCAAGCGCAAGGATCTACATAAACGGAAATGAATCCCAAAGAGTTTTAAAAAAGAAATTAAAGTTAACCCACCACTCCAACCGATTCAATGGCAAAGAGTACAGTGCCAAAAAAGAGGGGGAAGTTTCTTATTGGCTGTGTTGCTTGAAGTTCGTTGAAATTAGGAAGACCGTAGAAAAAGTAGCTAAAAATTATACAATAACCTATGGCTCAAAAGTAAGAAGAATGCCCTCAAAAGAAACAGATTTTTCTTTCTTCATTAAAGAAAGATATTAACTTAATATGACATCTTGTTTGTATGGAATCGGGACATATTTATAAAAATAAATAATAAGTATAAATTTAATAAATAAATTATGCAAAATGAAACTTGAGAATTGGGAGAGCTAACAAACTTTCTTTAATTTAAAAAATTGTTATTACCAATAGCCTACCAAGTATGAGAAGAATGTTCGATACCAAGGCAAATGGCACAAGGCTCTTGAGATCTCGAATTAGAAAGGCTAAAACCAGAGGTAATGCTAGAAAAGCCATGTAAAGTCTTTCATCCAACGGCCACAAATAAATGTCTCCTAAATGTTTAAGACTTTTGGCAATAAAAATCACATAGACACAGTCCACTCCAAAGTGGTAAGCACACAACAAGACATCCACAAGGTAACTAAAAAAATTAATTAGAATTTATACAAATATTCTTAGATAATATAATCAAACCAACCCAAAGGGCTTGCTCATAAATTGAAATTGCGGAGGACCACAGCTTACTGCCAGTTCCACCGCTTTTTGATAACTAAGTAATGGATTTTCAAATCGATTTCCCAATTCATTGATGCGATGGAGCTGTAAATGGTTGAATATCGATTGAAAAGTTCTTAAAGTAGTTACAATAACTATACCAAAATGTGCATGGCATAGAGCACAAAGGCACTTAGTAAAAAACAGCTTATAAGTCCCATCAACCAACCAGAATGCAAGAAAGCCTGTGGCATAGCCAAACATCCAGTACCAAAGCCGCACTTTAGAACATTAATAAAGGTCTCAAAGTCTCTTAAATTACAAAAAGAAAGTTAGGAAGTTAGGAAAATTATTTTCCAGAAATAAATAAATCTTTTCTTACGACAAAAACTTATCCTTGTTCGAAGAGAAGTCAGCTTGGTTGGCCAGTGGCGATCTATATGTAATTAAATTTCCTTTTATAACACTCTAAGTACTTAATCTTATATTGAATCACCCAAAACTCCTTTGGACTCCACCCAAAAGCCTTTGATGGAAGGACAGCTCCTGGTTTAAGCGTCGATGGCTGTTCAACTTCCTCTTTTTTCGCTTCATTTTAAGGAAAATTGAATCACTCGAAAGGGATTTATTATTTTTGTAGAGGGGAAGTCAGCGCCGACTTTGGTGAGCAATTATGCAAATGTGGAGCGCAGATCCCTCGGGTTGTGATCTCTGGAATCTGGAGTTGAGCTCGAGTCGGTTTTGGCCATTCAAGTTGCAGCTTCCAGGAAGGGTGGAGGTATTAGCATGGCCCAAAGCGGCGATTCTTTCCAGGAAAGATCCCATTCCGAGTCCAACCCTGCGATGTGTGGGCGTTGTTGCCCTGGCCCATGGAATTTGCTACCTAAATTATGCAATCGCCTTGGGGTCTTGGGCAAACTAATTAGTGTGGCCAGAGCGGGCATTTCTCAAATGCAGCCCCCTCCTCAATTGGCACCTGGCCATAAATCCACTGGCCTTCGGAGAACGGAGAATCTACAGTTTCTAGTTAGGACTTCCCGCTCCCCGCTTCCTGCTTCTTGCTCCTCACTCTCTCTTTAACTTTATCATTGTGTGGGGCCGACTGCCCGCTGTGAGCCACCTCCTCTTTTCCCGGCCGAATCAAATTGGAAATGCAAATGTCCCGTCGCCCGCGAAAAGCTGAGTGTATATTTTCCGGGGGCCAGAAGTCAACTAAGCAGATTTGTTTCTTTTCGGTACCTAGCATTACTTTCAAGATACAGTACTTTTCTTTACAATTTTCTGGGAAAACTCATCCATTGAGGGATACAAAATGTTTGAACTTTAGAATTTAAAATGTTCCCGTAATACCTTGCACATTTTTATTTATTTATTTAACAAAATTAAATCTAGCATACAATACTAAATCTAATGTATTTCTTAAGGATTGCACATTTTTATCTAAATATGATACATAAACTGGCAAACCTCCTTAATTTTGTGTGTATAATTTAGCAAAAAAGAAGATTTTTAAAATAATTAAAATGATAGTAACGTTTTAATTTTTTGTGCTTTGTTTTTTATCAAGAGATACCACTCCCTAAGGCTAAATCCTTTAAAATATTCATATTTTACCTTATACCTTATCATAAACTTTTAGCCAAACCCGTTTTTACCTATTGAAGCGGATATAACATATAGTACGAAATCATAATTGATTTTTTTGAGTAAGTCCGGCAAGTATGTAAACATTTTTCTTTTTCAATTTCTGATTGAGATTCCTTTTCTTTTGTATCTCATTTGTATAAATAAGAAGTTGAGTAGAATGCCTGATTTTTTTGCGTGCAGGTAGTGAATGGTTGATGTTGCTGCTGCTGCCACTGTTTTGTTGCAGTTGCAGTTAGATGTGGCGCATCATTAAAGTGCAGACAAATGGCAGTGCGGCATGTGCGGCACATGTCAGGCTGCACAAGCTTTAGAAACAGGTGAAAATGCTGGAATTCTGATTATCCACTGCAGCTTGAGTTGCTGTTGTTGCTGTTGTTGCTGCTGTTGCCGTGATTGGCAGCAACTGTTGCTGCTGCTGCTGCGGCTGAGGCAGCAACTTAAACTGTAACTTTCAGCGATTTGTCGTCGTTGTCGCTGTCGTTCTTCTGGCACTGGCACTTTGATGTTGGCCAAAACAGAACTATCGGCCAGACAGCGGCAACATGCGCATAATTATCTGCCTGCCCCGCCGGCAACATGGGGTGTGCAACATTCAACATTCCTCCGGCCACGCCCCCAATTCAATTTACAGCCGGAAGTGTGGGTGTATACTTATTTGATATACATTCTCGGTCCGATCGTGTTCCTTTCGCGAACCCCTTTGCTGCTTCATAAATCAAAAATTGCCGCAGCGGCAACTCCCGCACAAAAAAAGTAAAGAGTGGAGTAAAACCCAAATCAACAGTATGAAAAACGCATTTAATGATTGGCGAACAGCAGCAGCGAACAGCGGTCGACAAGCAGCAACATCGAGAGCAGCAGCAGCAACAGCAACAACGGCAGCAGCAACAACAGCAACAGCAACATAATAGGCCCATCTAGAGGCAACATTCGCGTACCAGCAAAAAGTGGGAGGATGCAGTGAATTTTCCCTCGTCCCGCAGTGATGGTTTTTTTTAATGCCATTTGTTGCTGCCGCAGTAGATGTTGCTGCTGTGCTGTTGCTGTTGCTGCTGTGCTGCTGCTGCTGCTGTTGCTGCTGCTCCTGCTGCTGATGTTGCTGTTGTTGTTGGTGTTGGCGTTGTCGGGCCGTTTGCCTTTTTGGGGCCCGTGAGGCATTCGCCTAAGCGGCAGGTTCCTGTCTGCTCCATCCAAAGAGACGTTGACTGCATTTTTAAGCGCGCTCCGCGCATAAAATAAAGCCAGATTGCAGGTCTTGCCTCGGGGCCATCATCCTCCTGTTTGGCTTGAATGGGGCGAGTAAAAGTGCAGGATGCTTTGTTGTCCTGCCCCTGGACCCAGCCCAGTTCCCGATCCAGATCCCCAAGATCCCCAAGTTCGGGCCACCAAACTCCACTCGGAAGAGCTTCTGCAGATACGGCAGCTAATTTTCGATGGGCAAAAACACAAAAAAATCGGAAAAAATCGGAGAAAAAAAGTTGGGAGAGAGAGAAGCATCTGAGATCTTGGAGCGATAATGATGCAAGTTAATCATTAGCCTGGTACGTGTATTATGCGATTATTAGTTGGGTGTTCGGCTCTTACTTCATCTTCATCTTTTTCCCGAGGAGGATTACCAGCAAGTTCAATTTTGGTGGGCGTTTGCTCTGCTTTTCAAGAGCTGTTTTTTTTTTGTTTTTGTGGCTGTAATTTCCAATTTCCGCTCGATGTTGCATCTACATGCGGCCAATTTGTCAACGCGGCGGCAGCATGTTGCAGCAACATGTTAGTTGTCAACCTTTTTTTAAGAATCAATTGCCGCCCAGCAGCAGCACTGCGAGTTAGTGCTGGAAATCCGATCTTGGCAGAAAGCCCGCCTTCTCGGCTGCCGTCTGTCAGCATGGAGGATATAGCGTATATAGCTTTCCAACTCGCCGGATGCCACACAAGCGGATCGAAAAAGGCGGCCTTGAACAGCAATAGCCGCAAGTACTTGGCAAAAATCATTGCAGAATTTAAATGAGCAGATCACACACACACAAATACACACACACAAGTACATACAATGTTGGCCACAAATATTTTGAGGGCAAAAAGCCCGCTCGACTGACGTGCAACATGATTTTGTAGGCGTGCAACATGCGCATGCGCAACAGCCGCAACTTTATCAGATTCTGCGCTCTTTTTAGCATTATTTCTGTAATTTTTTTCGCCCTGCCTCGCCGGCATCTTGTTGACTGTCAATTGTTTGGTGGGCGTTGCAGCAGCAGCAGCAGCAACCAGCAACTAGCAACTAGCAACCAGCAACCAGCAACAATAGTCGAGGCAGCAGCAGCGGCAGCAGCAACAACATAGTGTCCCACAGTCTGCAGCCAGACTTTTGAAGCTATATCAATGTCAACAGCATTATCACACTACGCTGTCAATATGCAAATGCCTAGAGCAAACCCAGCGACAACAGCAACAAGCACTTGCCAACCCCAAGTAGCAACAACAATAACAACCACGGCAGCAGCAACAGCAGCAACAACAACTGCAGCAGCAACATTCGCCAGGAAAAAAAAAAGACAAATAAATACTTGTTGCAGGCGATTGTTTTTTATGTGTGCGTATGTGACACTCGTTAACACGAAGCGAAAATGCGCGAAATGCGATATTTCACACGATTTATGCACGGACAACGACAAAAGTTGCAACTGCAAGGGGCAGCAGCAAACGCCAACAGCAACAACAACAGCAACATCGAAAGCCGCAGGAGCTGCAGCAGCAGCAGCAGCAACAGCAGCAGACCACACAGGTTGCATGTTGCCGGTGGGGCAGCTTAGGTTGCTGCTGCTGGCGGAATATGAAGTACGCAGCAACTGCGCCCGCAAGCAACCCTCCATTTGTTCAACTTAATTTGGACTCCCAGGAAAACCATTTCGAAAGTGAGTTCTCCTCTGGAACCGTAGATCGTTAAGTGAGTTGCTGACAACTAATGTTGCTGCAGGAGTTGCAAGTGCTGCTGGTGTGTCAATATGGCGCAGGCACAATTTAATGGTAAAAGCTTTCCAGAGGGAAATGCAGAAGAAAAGTGATAGGAAATTAATAATGAATAAGGAATGTAAATGTAGGTACTACTCTTTTATTCTTAAAAATGCTCTTGGCAAATAAATAAACATTTAAACATAATAAAAATGTATCAAGGAGCTGATTTAAAATCCTTCAAAATATATAATAATATCTATAGAATCCGCACATATACAAACTAAATTCTATAAAAAATAATGGTTGGTTAAACTCCAATAAAATAATTATGACAACTCGTTCATTCTTTTATGTTTAAATTTGTAAATTTGTACAATAGTTTTCATTTTGTATTTTAGCGGAATTGCTTGAACTTTACTGTTGGCATAATACTTGTTTATTACAATGTTGATGTTTTTATGAAGACATTACTAGGACAAAGATAAAATACCAGAAAAAGCCAATTGCAGCCAGAAACTGATAAGAACTGATTAGACCCCTTGGCATAAATCAGAGCTGCCATATCGCACAATGTTGCAGTTGGCAAATCACATACTATACTGCAACAGCAACAGCAACACGACGTGTTTGCAACCAGAAAACGGAGAAAGAAGAGGCACGTTGCAGTGCAGCCGCTTTAGGAGCAGGAAGCTGATTAGCCAGATCAGAGCTGCCAAACCAAACAGTGGCAACTGCTAATGGCCGAGTTGCTGGCGTGCTAATTTGACAGCCGGGCCAAGTAGCCAAGTTGCCAAGTTGCAGCGAGGGAGAGAGTGACTCCGTCGAGATTTATGCGTTGCCAATTGGCTGTGGAAACATTTGCCCATATACATAATTGAAACGTAATAAATTCTATGATGTTGCTGCTGCTGTTGCAACAGCAACAGCTTTTCGTGCACAATTAGCGGCGGCAACATAGTGGTAGCCATCAGCCGACTAACGACAATTGCTGACCATTTTCATGACTAGCCGTCCGATTATTAAATAAATAATTTCATAGCGTGGCTAGTGGGCA